CAGATACAATAAAAATATCTTTAAAATCCGAGTACAGTACAGTTTATGCTGTTTTTCTCAGGTATAAACTTAGGATTAATAAAAAATAATCTCTTTATAAATAAAAGTCTGATCCTTACAGAGTTTAAAGAAAAAGTTGTTTTAATTTGATAGCGGTAATTTTTTTTCTATAAATGTTTAAAAAATAAATCGAAAGATAAAGTAATTTTACTTGCTTGGACCGCTATTCAGTATTATCTTTATTACTCTTTTTTTTATGGTCTTCATTTATCAGAAATTCACTTCATGGAAGATGTTTATCAAGAAAATAATTTTAAAATAGCACGAATATATTTTATTTTACCGTTGTCCGAGAAATTACGAAATGCTCCATGCCCATTTCAAAGAGTAAACATCCATCAAACTCCTACATTCCGAGTTTAAATCTTCATCCAAGATAACAAGGTCGATTGGAATATTTCCAACCGGAATGATAATAAAATAGTTTTTCATCTCAACGGCCTTGGATTTGTTTTCTCGTAGCAAAAGACCTGTTATCTAAAGAAAACAAATATATCTAGATGCATAATTCATTAATTATTTCGTAATATGTGTTAAAGGACTGATCCGAACATGAATTTCCAAGACTGAAAAGCCGGAGGAATCCTGGATGGTAATGTATGGTTCTGAAGCTTCATTTAACTTCATTAAGGATCATTTAATATTTTACTTGTTCAATTGAATTTCAGTTCGTCGAAGACAATCATAAATAGCACACATTTTTAGCAATTGTACATGCTATGGTACTTTATAAACATTTTCGAGGCCTATTATTTCTATATTATTGAGGAAAATTGATTCCTCCCTATCACATATATAAGTAAAAAGATTTGAAAGAAAAATCCTCCGCACGATAACAGGAGAGATCTGGGATAAGAGTACTAACACATGGAGAAGAAATACCAATAAAGAACTGTTTACAGAAAGTGGTCAATCAATATCCAATGATATGAAGGCACAGAGGTTAAGATGGACAGGGCTTGTAGCTCGTAGCAATCCATCTGGGACGTTCTACGTAACAATAAATGCCTCAATAGAAGACAAAAGACCACGTGGAAAGCCAAAAGGCATATGGATGGAAAGAATCAACAAAGATGCAATAGAGCAGCGAACTAGAAAGAAATAACCCAAGACAGGTAGAGATGGAGCAGCCTTATTAAGGCGGCAAAAGATCTAGGAGGTTTGTAATATCTTGCGTTGCCCAAATGCGAGACCGAGACGAGTCTTGTTCTTGCAAACTCAGTCTTGGTCTTGTGGAAGAGTCTCGCAATAGCCTTGGAGTTAGCTTAGTACTAAAGAGATATTACTGTATTTTTTTAGATAGGGGAAACCTGACTAAGCCTGAATGAAAAATTAAAAGAGTTAAATGCAAAAGTATATTAAAGGAAGGAGATGGTCCGGGGTTACGGTCATAAATAGGCTAAATAGTTTTACCACTATTTAGCCTATTTATGACCGCAACCCCGGACCATCTCCTTCCTTTATAATGCAACGGTCAACTATTAAATATGCGAAAGTATATTGTTGATACCAATTCTTTACATATAGTATCTAAAATTGTCAAGCATTAGTCACTATTTTGTCTTAATTTTTATTCAAAAAATCGACTCTTTTTACCAGTCTTGGTCTTGGTGGTCTTGCAATAATCAGGCGGTCTTAGTTTACCAAGACCGATTTTGGACAACACTAGTAATACCAGCAGAAAAAAAAAAGTATAATATGTATACATATATATTCAGAAGCTTTGTCAATTTAAACTGTTTATATATTGTATACTGTTGATATTAATGTTTTGAGATTCACTCCTCAGTAGGTAGACATTTCCTACTTTTTATTATTTTCCATTTTTTTATTGCCGTCAATCTGCGTTGAATTCAATCGATTGATAAATTAACTCCATCAATGCAGTTAAAAACTTACCACAACGTTTGGCGACACGGCGCAGGAATATACTCGTATGTTGGCTTTCCAGCTTATCTGTAATCCTGGGAGAGGAGTAATCTCAAACCAAGTAAGAAGCGAGTTCCAGCCTCGGATATTTTTATGGATCGTCACCAGCTGACAGAAGAGAACAACAATTTTACAGCCTGGAAGAGACAAATAGGATGATAAAGGAGCGGAGCAGACAGTAGGCAGTTACAGGAGACCCCGAGGGGATACACACCCTGATGACGATGGAACTTTTCAGAGCCGAAACTTTTTAACGACCCTTCTGATGGTCATGTTTTAACGATCCGCCTCATTATGACCCCAGGAGCAGTATTAACAGCCAGCGAGGCTCCTTGAATTTGAGAACCTCGGATCTTACTTACCTTCTAGAGTATTATGAGGTTATTTTTTATTTACTTTATTTTCGGTGAAAGAAACTTTTACACCTTTTGAAGGTGGCGTTATTCCTCTTTAAATAAGAACTCGTAGCGAGCGGTAAAGTGTAGAAAAATCTGGTAATTTTCTACAGAGTCCTTGCAAAGCTTTTTCTTGAATTAAGGTCTTCTCATAAATTTTTAAAGAGAGGTTTCGTCCTTGAGAGAAAAATGTCTATATTTGGTTTTTCCTTTTATATAAATCTCCCTTTATGCCAAGAAAGAAAATGACACAACTAGTGCATCTATTGAAAAAAAAAAGCTTAATATCAGGATAGATGAAAAATTCATTGATCCTACCATACAAATTTAATTTTGAATTTTACAGCAAATTTATGAGAAATAATGAGATAAAGGAAAATCGTTTCCAAGAGTTAACAAATGTATATAACAAGTCGCAAGGTTTGTACAATGCAATGATAAGGCCAGTTCTGACACACGATTGCGAGACTTGGATCAACTGATCCATCAATATCTTTTGGCATGAAGGCAAGGAGGTAGGGATAGGTAACATGCAACTTTGAAGTATGTAGCCATCAAGCATCTAGAAGTTTATAGACAATAATGAATGCCTCAGTAATGATCAAGAGACTACGTAGAAGGCCAAAAACCAGGTGGATAGATCGAATCAACAGAGATGACGAACTGCGTTCAGATAACTGAAAATAAACAGCCCAAGATAGACAGAGATGTAGAATAATGGTTAAGACGGCAAGAATATACTTGAGACTGCATATAATAAGTTGGTCCACGCCTACGATGGAGCATTAGCAGAGATGTTGAAGTGAGAAGTAAATTTCAAAACGTTTCTGTCAATAACTTAACTAAACAGTACATATAAATGGTCCATTTCATATATAACTAAATAAACACACATACGTTTGTACGAGCTACATGTGTACAGTATTAGCTTAACTTACCCTCATATTTTTAAGGAATTATAATTTTATTAGAAATTAAAGTAAAATAATGTTATGAACAACATTAAAAGAAGAAGTAATATGATCTTCCAATTTAAATTGAACTGGCAACTATAATAAGGAACTTAATATTTCTAGCGAGAATTGAATACTACATTTAGAATTGAGCGGTAACCACACCATAATAAAGACTGGTTTTCTAAAATAAGAACATAAACAATCACCTGATTAAGTCTCGTTTTGTTCTTTGCATATAACTGCTACTAACTTTTATTTAATCTCATAAATATTCTTTAATTACCAGAGAACAGTAAAATTTTATTAGTTAGCGAAATTAATGGCTTTTAGTATTAAGAGTTTATTAGTACTTTATAGTCCAAAAAAAAAAATCGACCACAAGGCTCATCAATGTTACTAGCGAACTATTTCTTAAGGAATCGTTAATTTATAAGAGCAAAAAGCCTCCATCCTTGACTATCACGAAGATAGAAAAACATTACTATCCCTTGGTTACGGCCGCTACTGACCTTTTTTTGAAAGGAAAAGGTTATTGAAGTTTTATGCCTTCCTAGAAGTAGTAAGAAAATTTCGTTTTACTGCTTATGCCCAAGGATCTGATACCATCTCGGGGAAGGAAAGAAAGCGGGCAGTTTGTGGGGAGGAGGCCAATAAATGCTTCTGTAAAGCTATTATCTTCCGGCTCTAAAGCAAACAAGCCTTAGGCCCTTGATTAAGGCAGCATTTGAAAAGACTAAGACTTTCTGAAGGGTGTCTGTCGAAGAGAGAGTTATTAATAGATCGAGATGGCATTGTCTGCAACACAGCTAGCGCATGCTCCCTGCCCATTCATATTGAGATGGAGGGAAATTTTTCCCGCTTAGGCCTCTCCTATCAAAACAAAGTCATTTGTTCCCTTCTGAACAGTTAGACCTATCTCGGATATATATGGATCTCTTTATGTCCCTCCTTCTATTATGTTTGTTCCTATAATAACATCTTACGACAAAACCACTTGCCTCATTTGTTTTGCTTCGTAGTCTTTACAAAGTGGGGAGAGGGGGTGTTATTTAAGATCCGTCGAATAAAGACAGTCATAATAAAGTTTTTAATAAAAAGTGGAGATTACAGACATGGAGTCACCAATTGCAATGAAACTTCTTTTGGTGATACTAGATCAAAAAATATATTTTTAAAATTTATAATTTTTTGTCTTTGATGGGCATGGATTTCTAATATTTAATATATCAATACATTTTTTTTCTGTGTTGAATAAGAATACATTATTATTAGTAGCTAAACGAATTCAAATATATAATGAATTAAAAAAATAATGCATTTAGTAAAATAGGACAAGTACATTTTTGTCTTGAATATAATATAGTCCAATATAATTTTCAAATACGATTTTTTTTTTAAATCAAAAAGTGTACAATTTTGGTCTTGATTTTAAAAAAGAATATTTTTTTTCACACCGTTTAGTAAACCATTACTAACTCCTCCAAGTTTATTATTTATTTTTAATTTCAAAGCGATATCCACACTTTGGTAATGTTTTTGTTTTTTAATAAGAAATCCTTAAGCTAAACTTCATCAATGACAATGATATTTTCCTATCGATTTAGAGATATTAAGAGGAAATAATTGAAAAATAGAAAAAAATAAGTAAATGACCACTCACCACTGCAAGACTGCTTCTCAATGTCGGCCTCAAATCCTGGCTTGCACTTGCAGCCTCCAGCTGGGAGGTACCACTTGCCATCACCCTTGCAGAGGTAGGTCGGGGTGTCGATCTCTTCGGCGTTCTCCACGCACCGACCCGTCGCCTGCTCGATGAAGGTCACCTCCCGACCTGTGGGCGTCGTCGGGAACTTGGCGAAGTTGATGGTCACCTCGGGGCAAGTGATGTAGTATACCTGTAACAAAAGGGTCCTTAGCTTCATGGGGATGTTCGTACCCTCAAGCTGCGCGGGGTGAGGGAGCTGGTACATGCAACTAATTAAGGGTGTTTGTTAAGAACATTAGCACTAAACAATATTCAAGATTCCAATATTAGTATAACATATCCTGGTTTCGAAAACAACCACTTACTATTAAAATTATTGATAAAGACACGATAAAAATTAAATATTGTAAAAATTGAACTGAATAATAAGGTAACAGAACTAGTTGTGAGATGCCTATGATACATAACGCTTTAACATTAACATTAACATTTTTCGGTGATAACAATCCGATCTTTGTTTAAGGTGAAAACTTAGCAAGCAAATGTTTGCCACAACGATGCTGATGTTACTATACAATAACAAAATCATACAACTCTGTTAAGTGTTATAACCTAAATTATACAGGGCAGAAATATGTTAAGCAAGCGATTTTGAGAGTTAGTTGACGACGCCACGAACATTTTACAACTCATATTCAAAATTCGTTAACTTTATTTGCTATCTGAACCTCCGTAATAAGTCTACATCCAACAACTCTTCTAACAATCTTTAGTCTCAGCTTAAAAACAGCCTGTGTCCGACATTTTTCTTCATATTGAAGGTTATTTATAGTTTTCAAATGAACATGATAATTTTGAGACAAATACATTTAAAAGGATTTCTCACATTGAATTCTTAATTTTTTATTTCCTCTAAAATTAGGTTTCTTTTATACATTTTAGGAACCTAACAATAAAACATTTATAAATACTTAGACGGATTTTCCTTACATCATGGAGGCATGATGGTGTATTCCCACTCTATTTTAAGGTGGAAATAAAATTCTAAAAAAAAAAATTCAGAAGTTAATATTGTAACAGTTCGAAAGGAAAAAAAAATTAAAAAGATAAGTCCCTCTTCTGTTTTAAATTGTTTAAGTTCTAGCATCTTACATGAGCCATAATTATTTTAAGAATAATTTATCAAAACGTGTACAAAAATTTATAACACATACCCACTTAAATACAATTATCATTTCTAGAACAGACTTTGGAAATTTTTATAAAATAGGAATTGGATTTAAATACTAATTTTACAAGAGTTCAAATTAAATTAAATTTTATATGTATCTAAATACCATAATGTAATATATACTACCGATCGATTTTATTTATAAATGCATTTTAAGTTATAGATATGTAAACTAATGCTATTTATATACGGTAATCAATTAATTTACATGATAATGGTTACTTTTATAAGAAAAGCCCTAAACGGTATCTAATGACGTTTAATTGTCGAGGATTATTTAGCGTCATTAAGGATCCAAACCTTGTCATGGTTTATAGCGAAAACATAAGCATCATAAGTAAATAAAAAAATTAACAAGGGGCCATAAATTAAATTGACTCAGCCCATAACTAACCCGTAGGCTCCTATAAATATGCCGTAGAAAAATACGACCCCTGTAAAATCTAATGTGAGGAGTAAAATTAATTTCCTCCGTAATGAAGGACTCGGCTGCATTAAAACAAAGGGTCTGAAGGCAGGCTAGACTACTTCGTCGACATTAAATAATAAATTATTAAGCTGTGTGGTCATCGCTTTATAAGTGTATCTAATTAATGCAATTATTTTATAGAAAATTTTATTGTTATGTGAAGAACACGGGTATGAAGTTAATTTATATTTATATTATAGCACCTGGAACTAGGGCCCGAAAATCGAAAATTTGATGTTCTATAACTTTATTTATATGGGTTTTCCCTCTTACGGAACTCATCTATAGTAAATGGTCTCAGTTTTTGAAAAATTTGTTAAGAATCAGCGTTGGTTGACCGTTTTATACCTACCAAGTAACCAAATTATAAAGTTTATGCACTTGTTCGACGCAAAATTTAACGTTCTTTAATTCATTAAAGAAAACATTTTTCGCTTTGATGTATAGTTCAGGAGTTATAGGTGAAAAAACAAAAAAATTTTAAAAAAAAATCTTACTTTTTTTGGCTGTAAAAAGTTTTCCCTTGGTGGCCGGCGTTAGAAATTTGGTTTTTACATGCCTAAACCCAGATAAGTTAAAAAAATAAAAACTTTTCCCACATTTTTAGCAATCGATTTTCCGTTCGATCCTCAAATTACTGGTCTAATGTTCTTCAGCCGCCATTTTTGAAAGCAGCGGCTCTGAAACGGCAGACAAGGTTCTTTTTACTCAAAATAACACACACTTTCATAATTGACAATCAAACCACACCCTACGATGAGGTCGATTTTTAGGCCAGGGTTATCAGGTTGCTATAATATATGTATATATTTATGTCGTTACAATTTATATTTATATTCGAAATATATGTGAAGTAGAGAGATTATACTTGATTATACAAGATCTCACATGACATTGTATACTGTTACAATATATAAATATATTTTGTCGTTATAATTTATATTTATATTCGAAATATATATGATGTGGACAAGAAACGACATGATTAAAAAGTTTAAAAGTTTAAACCTGTCGAACTTTAAATTTAAAAAATACAAAATAGGATTAGGATTAGGATTAATTAAGGATTGAGATTAATTAAAATAACTATACTGGTCACGTGGTCAAGGCCATCTCAGATGGTTAAGGTAAAAATAGTGTGAGGTCCAAAATCCAAAAGTGGTCACCAAATTTCCTATGTACTGAGTATATAGTTAATGTCTCCGATACTCATCCGAACCAGTAAGACGTTAATTAGACTTGGAATATGTTTAAGAACTGTTAAATGATCAATAACATACCAGTTCTAGAAGATACTATACATTAATAGTGCCGATAGTTATCACTAATTAGAATGGAAGTCTTAATGAACTGGAATCAAACTTCCTTATGGCATTCTTCACTATTTTCCTCCGGTGTAATTTGCTTTTCAAATACGAAGGCCAAGAGAAAAATCTCGATGGGAACCGGCTACAGGACACGAGAGTCGTTTTAGCTCGACAAGAATAAAAATAAACCCAATGTCCATGTAAGGCAAAGTACCCCATTAGAATAATTAGTCAATTAAACTGGGCAATTTACTAAAATAACTGAACATGAAAAACTTTAATGTTACTGTGTCGAGTACTAATAGGCAAATAAATTAAATGACGTTAATTGAAATATATAGATTTTTTTATTTTATTTTATTTTTTTTATTTTGGTTTTTCTACAACTTAAGGAGTCATATCCCCAACACCCAAAAGCCACTGCTCCCTATCCATCCAATCCCCTTCACGAAGCCCTCTGGCTGCCATGCGGAATACATACCACAACAGATACCAGGTACCACAAACAAAAAAATATATATATTATTGAGGTATCCAATATAGTCGGATCCAATTAATTTAAAAATAAAAATTAATCCAATGGACCAAATATTTGCGATACAGATAATAATAAAAAGGGTTTAATTACCTAGAGAAAATAGGGCGTTACTAGGGAAAAGCCAACAGAATAGTGAATAGTGATAAAAGTGCCTCAAGATGTTAGAAATAAGGTATAGTAATTTTATCAGCGTTTTTATATAAAGAGCACTAGCTGTAATTCAAAATATTTTTTCGGTTGGGATAGAAGCACACTCAAGTCACGGTACTTATTCGATAAACAAAATGTAAGTTATTCTTAATATTCACTCCAAATGAATAAAGCCAAATGAGTCCATCAATACTTCCTGAAGAACAGTTTTAATTTTTTAATCTTAATTATTCATTTACCAATTTTAAGGATGGGAGCCGTGTTATGACGACGCATCCTTGGCAAATTCTATGTAGTTGACATTAATGAGGGAATTTAACCTCATTGCACACCTAACATCCATTCCCAAATAATTTAGTTTTGCGAATACTCATCATGTGCTATATTTATTTTTGTACTTTCTACTAACTTGGAGTTGGTTTTTGAAAATTTAAACTGCGTACCAGTAAAATTGCAATTTTTGTTGTTTTTCGTGACTCCAGTGAATAAGATAAATAAAAAGAGGGGGTAGAGGAAATGCGAAACCATTATCAAATCAATACATTTACACAATGACTGAAACAACAGTTTTATCTAGAGATAGGGTACGACCCATTTCCTGGGTTTGTGCAAAACTTTAAGTCAATAGATAGCAACAATTGCAATAATATTTTTCTGTGAAACTAATAAAAATAATATATATTTTAATGCTTACCTTTATGGCTAGGAGGGAGATGCAGGCTCCTTGATCCCTGAAGGCGAAGTATACCCCTTTTTTAGTCACAGGGATCGACTTTACTTCCGTGTTAATGATCACTTCAGTATTAGTGTTGAACCTTCCCTCTCCGGCTGCAATCCGACCTAAAAAAAAATTATAATGTAAATTAATAATTAATTCTAATATCATAATCCATAATTATTGGTACTTGTGAGGGAAATTAGGGCAAGTGGGTTATACTGTTCAAATACTATAACCTATATATTTCCATCCTCATTTGCTACCATCATTTGATCGTCATAAAATTGTCGAGTGTAAAGGCATTTATCGCCGATCTTTATACCCATATCCGCAGGTTGTTTCTTTCACTCTTTAACATAAACAAAAGTGGACATAGTGAACATCCTTGTTTGAGTCCTTTAGTCGTTTATTTCAGTGTAATTCGGAATTATATTAAATGCATCCGTCAGTGCCAAATTCAGGTTAAATATCACGTAACGTTTAAGTCGCAAGTTGAAAGGAATAGCAATGATATCATTGATTTTGAAGAAGCGATGAAATAAATATGATTTACGGACAACAAAAATAATGAAGAAAATAATATCCTTGAGAAGTAAGATCTTGTGATATTCAACATATAAAAGAGGTAATTTTGAACCTTTATGTCACTTGCTTCATCTTAACTACAAGATTTTTTTGCGTTATAGTACAATTCCAAAATTCTAAGCTGTCAAATACCACATTAAATTAATAAGCCAAACGGGTTTTAGCAAATTTAAAAAGCGTTAATTTCAGAATATAATTGTGTAAAACGTTTAATAGAAAACGCAACAACGCCGAATGCTGCTAAGTATTCATGAAATAAATTAGAAAGTTAACAACTTAATATGTCTCCCACAAACGACTTCAACTAGAAACATCTTATTTCATAAACATAGTCTAACTCTCATACCTTTAAATGAGTTTCTAAATGGAATCCTAATCCAATTATTACTTCATACCGTGAAATGACAAGGCATATTGCTCTAGAAGACAAAGACGCAACTCGCATAGGCCCTACATATCCCGTGACGAAGAACATGGTCCTGGGTCGTAAAAACTTGCACAAGCCCAGCATTTAAGTAAGGCGACCTTTAAGTGGACGAGGGTTGCCGATGTCCCAGGACACAAACGACGGTGTCCTGGCCTGCTATCTGGAAATGGCATTCCTTCGGTGCTTTCTTAATCAGCCCTTCGTGTCCAACACCGCGTGTCCTCGAGTTGGCACATTCAATGGACCGGTTTTGTCCCTCCGAAAGAAAGTATTGCAATGGAGCGACGAATTTCATGTAACCAAAGCGGAGTTAGTGTGGAGAATGAAAAAGAGGACAAAATTAATTAAAACCAACTACATTAATTTGATCTATACAAAAATATTTTTATTTAATAAAAGCAGAATAAGTGATCTATTCTTGGAGTATAGGCATTGTTGGCAAAGATTGCTCACAATTAATCAGATCAACAGAGGAAGATAGTGTTTCATAGACTGAATCTGACTTTGAATAAAGCGAAGAAGATTAAAATAGAACAAAGTATAGCAAGGTAGTGAGCTTCCAGTTCGAGTACTGCTGTAGAATACATTTTTTTTTCTATTCTTTCACTACTTATAAAATATCCGAACATACATCCATACATCAGCTTCTGCACAGTAAGTACCTGAACAATCCATGGCTTAGTCGTGAACCTCGTAAATATTTAACTGGCATAAAACCTAGATAATCATTAGAAAAAAAAAGGTGTTTCGTTATCAAGTATCAAACTCTAGACCTTCATAGGAGAAAGAAAACGATTATCAGCTAAATATTACTATTCCATTATGAGAGAAATAAAAATTTGATTCTGAATTTATATTATATGTCTTATTAGAGTAGTCTTAGAGGTAACATCATAATGAAGGGATATTCCAAAAAAAAAAAAGTATGAGAAGCTCAGGTTATTCTTAACAATGAAATCCAGCACACCTGTTACACATGACTGGAACTAAGGTAGTTTTGAAACCACAGGTATACTTCCAACACGCAAAAGATACACAAATGCTTACATCTGCGTGATGACCCTGAGCAGTAGCAGGTAGCCAGTTGAATAATGTAAATGGTTCTATAGACTTACATATGTTACCATAAAAGAATAAATCTTAAAGTTGAAAAAAAATAGTTCTTCAAGAAGGAGATGTTCGGCGGTAAATGTTTTAGACTTAGGACCATCATTCATAGAAAGTTAAAGATGAAGACAATCAAATCGGATAACTATATTGATAAATGACCGCCCAGTCCCAAATGACCCAACTATGAAGTGAAGATAAAATAAAATGGTAACTAACCAATGAGCTTGTAGGACTCCGGCTCCCAAGGCGGGGGCTCCCTGGTGGCAGCATCGAACTCGTAGTAGAGGAGAGAGAAGGTCTCCTTGCAGGACAGCGCGTTCCCTGGGAAGAGGGAACAATCCCGGATGGTGAACTTGATCTCGATGTAGATGCGGTTAGCGTTACCGCGCTCGACGAACGGCGTCCACAGCCAGTTGTTGACGTTGTTGTAGGCCACGTCGCAGACGACATAAGAGCGCCAGTTTATTCCCTTCTCGAAGTTGGTGAAGCTCTCCTCGACCCACTGGAACAAAAGAAAATGAGATCATTAGTAAAGCATCAAACATGAAAATTATATAATACATATATCAATATTAAAGACTAATAGCGAGGAGTATGAGATTGATCCTCAGGATCTAATCAAATAAAAGCCAATCAAAAGCTAATTAGACTTAGGCCACGCCTCTCAGTGGGATGAGTAAGGAAAAACTCCTGACATCAGCTAAATCTATTTATTTTTTAAAATCTAAAAACAAGTAAAACTGTTTTATTCATACCTTATAGAATTCGTGAGAATATTTTCAGCTGGCAGAATATATATTTTTCACTTTTTTTTATTGAATAGTTCTATTGAAAAAAACAAAAATAGATTTAGCCGATATTCTCTTACTCGCCCAACTGCGCGTCGTTTACAGCATAATTTTAACATAGCTTTTATTTATTTTTATATTTTTATAAAAAGTTTGTTCATACCTGAATTTTAGAGAAACAAGGCTGTGTAGTTGGAATTTTCCCGTTTATAACCTAACGTATAATTGCTGTCAGTTGTTGAGTATATATTTTATATAAGATTTGATACTGATCAACGGAGGACAAGTAGCTAAGTCAGAGGCTTGTGTTGTATTTAAACTGACCTAACTTATAAGGGATTAATTTTTCGAATATAATAAAACTAATTCTGTTTAACCTCAGAGGAAACTAGGTTATGTTAGAACTTATAGTGATGTTATAAACGCTTCTTTACCACAGTTAGGTTAATAAACCAGCGACTTCTTTGGGCAGCACTTCAGTAAAAATCATATGCGCCACTGATCAACTTGGAGTATTTAAGTAGCTTCGAAATTAAAAGAATAGTTTAATATTTTCAAGTTTATTTATTATCAGCCAATTTTACACCAATTTTTAATTTTGTCAACTTAATGACTACACATCTCAATTATGACGTTTCGGCTCGTTGAGCCATTTTCAAGTCTAAAAAAAATTTCCAATTTACAATCATATCTAAACTTTACATCTTGTTGTCATGTCCACCTTCAATTATTTTATAACATTATTATTACTCAATTCTTTCTTATTAAATGGTTCAATTAGAGTGCCACCTGTGGGTAGTTTCTCATCAAGTGTATTCATTATATTCTTTTGTTCACATTTACTGAATGTATTTTATTTGTAATACAGTAGTAAATATCATCAATAAATTAAATTAAAAAAATGATTCAAATAAGTTAAAATTAACTTATCATGTGTCACCCACATGTCATCAGTCTCATTTCTATTTAGTTTCTGGTTATTCTTATAGGAGTAGGGGAAGACTTGAAAATGGCTTTTTTAGACTTGAAAATCGCTCGACGAGCCGAAACGTCGTAATTGAGATGTGTAGTAATTAAGTTGACAAAATTAAAAATTGGTGTAAAATTGGCTGATAATAAATAAACTTGAAAATAAATAGTATGCACCGAAGAAGAAGTGAGATATATTGTGAATAGTTTAATATTTTAAATGGTGTGGTAAATTCTTTAGTACGTATTAAATTTTATAATATAAACCGGACTAAAAACCTCCATTTTGCTATTATTATTATTATTACAAGATTTATGTTTACAGTAATGCATGTATAAATTTATTTAAACTTCAAGTGGTTGAATTAATTAAATACTAAGGTCACTCATGCATGCAATATATATGTATACAGCAACGTGTAAATTATATTGTAAAGAGGGTGTAAAAGAGAATGATAAAGCAATGATAGTTGGTCCGAATTTTTAGAATGATACAGTAAAATGATTTTGGATTAACTTGTTAACCCAGACTTTCGTTTGGGAAGTTCCAAAAAATAACACATATAATTTATTAGCGCGATAAATGAGGCAATTATTTGCATCTTCCAAGGAGAAAGAGATTAAGTAGCGAAGTGTAAAATATTTTGGAAGCGCCACATTTAAAGAGATGGAAGATTTGTTTTCTCCGCCAATAATTATTGAAATTTATTTCCTAATAGGGAAAGAGCTGGATGGTAGCCGGAGCAGATCGGACAGGCAGCGGAGGGATATGCAAATGGCCGAACGCGGTATCTGGATCCGAGGATCAGACAGCTCGGGTCCTTTACTTATGGTTCAAGAATCCATTAGCTCCAAATTGGATGTTGGAGATGGATTTATTGCCTCTTGGTTCTGATCATTTAATATAGCCGTGAACTCGTTCCAATGTGATCCTCATGTCTACGCTATTGTTTGTTTTCGTCTAAAAGATTCGTGTCAGCAATATTTATTCTGCCTAATTAGCGTTTCGAGTGAATGCGACGTGATACAGAGCGATAATAATCATGAAATTTCAGAATAATTGTAAGTTTAAGTTCATGATCCATAGACTTAACAATCAGTATATTAAGACTTGAGATGTGGTTGTTCATATACGTCATGCCTCGTGTACATGCCTATTTTTAAGATAAGCATATTAAAAAATTATAGATGCAAAGTTTACGGAATTTATAAAATGTTAGAACAATAAATATTAAATAAAAAAACAATATAAAAAATAAAATACAATTATTAAGGGATACAGATAGATTACATTAGGTCTATTCACAGAGAGAAAAACAGAGAAAAGAGAATTATTATTATATGGAATACATAGAAAATGGAGGAAAATCAAATGATCGAACTATCATTTTGAAGATTATTTAATAAAAATGTTTTAAATTTATAAGATCAGATGTGCCCAGATAGGGGGTTTGATGCACAACTTGCGCCATCAAAATTTTAGGTGTAGCATATTTTTTTTTTTATTTTAATTTTTAAGGGGACGCACATTTCGGCAGGGTTATGAATTTTCGGAATGAAAAGTTTCATACAAAAAGACAAAGGGGCAAATGTAGATCTACGATTTTTTTTCTTAATTCTGCCTTCGCTTGGTCCGTTTTTAAGAAAAAGTGAGCAATAATAGATCTTGGGAATTTTAAGGGGAAGTGTAGGATCTTGCACCATCGACCTTGAGGTGGGGGAGAATGGATACCCCTTTATAAGATATTTATTACAAGTTGGTCCTTGCGAATAATTTACATGATTTATTTCTCACTGAATAGTGGTAGTGCATAAAAGATTTTCAGGATTCATTAATTTTTGGAATGCCTTCCTTTTTTATTTTTGTTAATCTGTGCGGCACAGGCGAATCTATGAGGGGGAGGCATTCGGGCTGAAGCCTCTCCCTTCAAAATGGTAAAATATAACTATGTCCTATGAAAAATGAATAATGACTCTAAAAGTATTATTGTTCGTGTTATTATAGTTGATAATACTTAAAGAATCACTTAAACTCTATTTCATGTAAGTAGTTTGTTTATTTATTTTTCTTCCCAAGTAAATATCGTTATATATTTTTAAAAATAATCATTTTTCGTTCCAACGAATTATAGAATAATTGAGATAAATAAGACCTTAGTAAGTAGATATACAATTAAATTATAATTATAATATCTTACAGCATATTATAAATGTTACAGAAAGGATTTGCAGAAATAAAAAAAATACCCTTTATGGAATATATGATTACCAGATATTATAGCAATCTATGTACTTTTTCATTCACATAGAAAGGTGGAAGATGTAATTGCATCGCAAGACACTACACGCAATAAGCGATTTATGAGCCAGACATCTCGAATTTCAACTCCCAAGATGAACATAAATCCGTAGTTGATAACTAACAGGTAGCGAGCGGATGTGTGGCGTTAGCAATTTTAACGAGAAATCTAAGACACCTAGCGGTCGTGTCCCATTACGTGAAACATTACCTGGTATCCAGTTGAACTGATAAATTCTATGTGTGTCATATAGCACTTTTATTCCATATCGTTCTAGAATCAATGAACGTAATTATATTAGGAACGTTAACGATAATTACTTGAACGAATTTATGTTGTTTATTTATTTAGTTTTATCCTCCTTACATCACTAACTAGAAACGAGTCACCCATCAAATAATCATTATATTTTAGATGAAGTATGAAGACCGAGATTTAACACGTGGTTACGTCATGAAATCGGAGTTAATTTCAAGGTGCTACTTTAACAAAATTCGATACCCTCTCGTTATTTAATAATTTTTGTTTTCTTATCCTGCATAATTTTATTTTAAATATTCTTTTTTCATAGGTTCCTTAAAGTATTATTATTAATTTATTATTAATGTTTTTTTCACAACGTAATAGTTTCTCATATTGTTATCCGGTCTTTTCTTAGACCAGACGAATGCTTGAACTTCGGGCTGAAACATCTCTTTAATTATTCATTACAATCAACCATCATACCTCTATTTTAAATAAAATTAGTTTTATTTTTTTACAATTTTTTTTTCAACCTCCCTCATTTATTTACATTTTACAATACACTTTTTTTTTTGTATTCGCCTCTACCCTAGAGGGTCATTAGCGGAAATTCTTAATTTTTATATTTCTATTATAGTGATTTGTTTCCAATAAATATTTAAAGAGAATGATGACATCTTCCTCCTTGTCTTCCAAAATATCTTTCAATGTTGTCGAAAACTTTAATTTTTGTTTCGTTTTTCATATTGGGGCCACTCTATTAGTAAATGTTTGACTGTTTGGTTTAAGGTGTGTTGTCACATTTTTGGCAGGTTGGCGCTTCGAGATCTCTAATTAGGTATCCGTGTGTGAAAAGACACATTACTTATATATATATATATATATATATATATATATATATATATATATATATATATATATATATTTGTTACAATTATTTACAATAAAATTGATTTAGTATCACATTTGCTGAATGTATATTAATTTGTACAGTTGTACATTTCATAAATAATAATAAAAAATCGATTTGAAAATTTTAAAGAAGATAGTAAAATTCTTTTTATGAGATAGGGAGATAAATTGAAATACTCTTTTTCGTGAATAAATTATTAAAAGTAGTGTAAGTCGAATGTTCTACATATCAAGGGTGATAAATATGACAGAATTCTAATTTTAAAATTTTTATTGTTGCCAGTGTTTCA